CTAAGATACAGTAGTATTTGCTTGTTAGTTGTAATTACTAAGATACAGTAGTATTTGCTTGTTAGTTGTATTTACTAAAGTAAATAATTGTTAACAAACTTATTACATTTTTTTGGGTTAATAAAACATGAAAATAATACATTTATGTGAAAACACTTAGAACTGAAATTAGAAAGAGAATGATTATTATCTGATGATTTAAATCACTGTCATGACAGCACACTAATACATTACAACAAGTTAAATATACGTTTCAATAAACAACTACAAATATAAGTCATTCGTTTTGAAATTCCGCTACAGTGCTTTGGTACAGAATACCTCTGAGTATGATAGAAAACAGTCAAGAATGGCTTAAAGGATTAACAAAGAAAAAGAGTGCTAAACCTGTTACAAATACTTTTATTATACGAGTACTAAAGTACGTGTATAAAGACAAAAACTCCCTACTTCGTCGCAATGGATGACATTTCTTACTATTTATGATGCTGCTATGTTGGAAGAAGATAGTCAGGATACGACTTATTTGACTTAATTCTGACTTGTTCAGTTACACATTAAAAATACAAGTCATGACTTCAGAACCACGTATAAACTCTTAACTTGCTTTAGTGATGTGACTGGTTAAAAAGTATTTGGTTTCATAAAATAACTATCATAAAGTCTGATTATGATCATTTTTAGCTTCCCATTAATTATTGATAAGTCTGGTGATTTCAATGACCACTTCAATTATTTTACGAACAGAGAAGTGAGTGATATAATAAGGCATAAATCCAGTTGGTTAGTCCTCAAATGGTTAGAAATCTCTACAGCTTTCATTGTTCTTATCATTGACATAGTTCTACCTATTTTAATCACTCTTTTTTACTTTTTTAGACTATTTATATCACCTACATGTGAAGAAGATTTTTTTTCCCAGACAGCAGTGGGCAATTAAACTAATAAAAGATATTCACCATGAGGTCGAACAAACAATCACATTGGGAGAAAAGTTAAATAAAGATGATGTAGGAGTAAAGGAACTAAAAACACAAATATATCGAATAGTAATGTGTGAACAGTAAGTTCATTAATAATTCAACAACATATGTGCAGTCAAATGAATGTCTACACAAACTTTTAACAATCCTTACATATATAACGAAGTTACAAAAGCTTTTTAATGATACACACACACATATATACGATAAAGTTACTAAAGCCTTCTAATGATACACACATATATACAACAAAGTTACTAAAGCCTTCTGATGATACACACACATATATATACGATAAAGTTACTAAACCCTTCTAATGATACACACACATATATATGATAGTTACTAAAGCCTTCTAATGATACATACATATATATACGATAAAGTTACTAAAGCCTTCAGATGATACACACACACACATATATATATATATATACAATAAAGTTACTAAAGCCTTCTAATGATACACACACATATATACGATAGTTACTAATGCCTTGTAATGATACACACACACACATATATACGATAGTTACTAATGCCTTCTGATGATACATACACATATATACAACAAAGTTACTGAAGCCTTCTGATGATATGCACACATATATACAATAAAGTTACTAAAGCCTTCTAATGATACACACACATACATACAACAAAGTTACTACAGCCTTCTAATGACACACACACACACACACACATATATATATATATATATAACAAAGTTACTAAAGCCTTCTAATGATACTCATACATATATACGATAAAGTTACTAAAGCCTTCTAATGATACACACACACATACATACATACAACAGTTACTAAAGCCTTCTAATGATACACACACATATATATATGATAGTTACTAACGTCTTCTAATGATACACACACATATATACGATAGTTACTAAAGCCTTCTAATGATACACACACATATATATATGATAGTTACTAACGTCTTCTAATGATACACACACATATATATATGATAGTTACTAACGTCTTCTAATGATACACACACATATATACAACAGTTACTACAGTCTTCTAATGATACACACATATATACGATAGTTACTAACGTCTTCTAATGATACACACACACACACACACACATATACATATATATATATATATATATATATATATATAACAAAGTTACTTAACGCCTTCTAATGATACACATATACATACAATAAAGTTACTAAAGCCTTCTAATGACACATAAAAGCAGCAGCAGTTAAGAGTAATGTTCAATTAATTTAATTTTTGTAACATTTAATCACGCTTTCAACACTTAATTTTTTCATACCAAACAAAAAGTATCATAATGAATATCTAATACATGCTATGTAGATATGAAACCAACAATATTCATTAAGCTATTACAGAATACTTAGGGAAATCAACAAGTAAAAGAGTTGCAAAGATAACTGATACAAAAAGTAAATTGTGATTAATTTAATACAGTGAAAGATTTTCAATACATTTATGTGTATAGCAATAATGACATCTATAGTTACTACAAATAAGATAACATTAATCTAACATATACACAACAAGACCTTCTTGTCTTTACAAGTGTGTACTACAAAACTTTGTACCTAATAAAAGTATTTCAAGCTTTACTTCATTCAAATATGTAGTCAAGACTTGTGATTTTAACCGTCAGGAAATTTTATTTCCAATTCCTTATGTTTACTCATTGGTTAATTACTACAATAATAAACTGTTAACTTCCAAATTCACGTGTACCTAAATCAAAGAGTTATTAAAATATACTGTAGTTTCTGTAATGTTTTATAGCTTAAAGTATTCTAAAAATGGTTAAATATAAGCCATTCCAGTTATGAATAGGAAAATAGGTTTCACAGTTAAAGAAAATAAGACCATGGTACAGAAAGGATGAAAGAAACATCTTTTTTTTTTAACAAGTCATGGTGGTGCTTAACTTTTGCAATATGGTAGCCATAACTACTGGTCTTTATATAATTCTATCCTTATAACATTCAAAACTTATGTAATATTTCCAGACTTCAGTTACCTGTAACAATTCAGTCTTGCCAAATGTAAATTTGTACCTTGAAATTGCAACATTAGCCTTACATGATCTCTTTGTTCTTATGGTATTGTTGGACTGGAAATTAGTGGAAGGTGACATTCACATGTTGCATACCCAACATTAACATGAGAATTCAGAGTAGTCACATTGTAATCATGTCTTGTTTAGAGAAGTGATATTTTTTTGTTCTCTGACTGAACAAGTGTTGGAATGGTCATAGTTGGGTCAGTCTTGTACGAGTCATCAGACCTTTCTTCTTATTGTAGTGAAAGCCAGTTTCTCTACTTTTGGGTTAACTGATATAAAATAGTCAGTCAAATACACTGTACTGCTTCAAGTTCAACTGTGTTGATGAGTACAACATTTTTAGTTTACATCTTAAGATCCTTCTGCAACATGCTTAGTTCTTACAGTGTAATGATTCGGCTTTCATTCTTCAAACATCAGTTACTCACTGCCAGTTATTAGTGTTAATATGGTTAATGCAGTTGAGAGTTATTTCTATATAGCTCTTTACTTAAGAATATCACAGCTTCACCCTGTACTTAAACTTACTAATATTTTAATTTCAGCTATTTTTTTTTAGGTTAAATACTTACAGATTTTCTCTGATGTTCCTTTTCTCAAATCAAATACATTCTGGAAATAGCTGAGTTGCTGATACAATTGGGTATCTGTGTACTGCAAAATAAAATGACCATTCTATAAAAAACTTGTAGAGAATTATGAACATAACAGCTAATGCAAATAACTTTATGGGTTAATAATAAACTTATTTTTCATAATAGATTAACAGAAATAATAATACAATGACGAAGTTCACCATTTATCATAAGTTTCTATGCCTAGAAATCATGCAATATTTTAATGTTGATAATGTTTTTTTAAAACTAAAAAAACAAATTTCATGAAATTACAAAAATTTAGTTGTTCTTAAGTTTTCAGAATTCTCTGCTGTTTATGCATTAAAATATAATACATGGAAAGACACAACCAACTTTTTCTTTTACCTCAATCTTAAGCAAAACCATCAACATTTTTATATATGGGTGCACAGGTGATAAATAATGTATTCTAATCATTATATAGTTTTGATATTTAATTTAATTAGCTATATTCATTTCTATATATTTTTAGTTCTGATCTATGTACATAGCTTGCTCTGATCAGAAGTTAATATTGACTAGTGTCTAACTATATTGAAATTACATTTATAATATTTTTGTTAAAAACTTCCATGCTTTTGAAACGTAACGAGTGACAAAAACTGCTAAAATCATATTCAAGAAAGTGAAATGGACTAAAGTAACTTGTGAAATGTGTGCTTAGTCAAGTCATAAATCTTCAGTACATTTATATATGGATTACCTATGATTCACAAAATCGATATTCCAATCAGACCTAATAGTATTGGTACATTTAATCGGGAACTGGCAGATATTATAGTTCCAAATCATAAATATTTTACCAAAAATAATTATACAGTTAAGGACATCTTTGAATTTGCTTCATTTGTTCAAGATTTAAAAATATCACACTAAGGTTTTGTGCTAGCTTTGATATAACTTCTTTATATATGAACATTCTACTTAATGAAGTCATAAAACCGAAATGTGATCTTGTTTATAAATGATCTACTTAATGAAGTAATAAAACCAAAATGTGATCTTGTTTATAAATATAAATCCAATATTATTGGTTTACCTAAGTACAGATTTCACAAGTTACTTTAGTTCGTTACCCAAACAGTCAAGTTTCATTGTTCAATGGTGAATTTTATGATAAGATTGATGGTGTTTCTATATGTTTAAGGTTAGCTCCCAGTTTGGCCTTGTTCAGAAGTAATACAAAAGTATTTTGGTAGAGAACTGTCTGGATCAATACAAATTTCCAATTTACAAAAAATATCTTGGTGAGACTTTCGCTGTCTTTATAGATCAGACATATGTTATTTTTGGATTATTTCAACCAACAACATGAATGTATTAAATTTGCAGTAGAAGTAAATTGAAAAAATCCATTTTTATACCGTAAGATAAATGGTTTCAAGTTGACTATTACCACAAAAATACTTTTACCAGTTTATATATTAATTTTGTACTAATCCACAGGGCTTTTCAGTCATGCAGTAATGTTAAATATTATCAAAATGAGCTTATGAAAATCAAAACCATGTTAATGAAGAATGAAATTACATCAAAAGTTGTAAACAGCATAATAAGGAAGCAAGTACAATGAGAAAAAAAAGACAATGCCAATGCTGTCATTTATAATGTGTCATGTTGTCTGTCGACCCTTGCTCTATTACATCTAGCCAAACACACGAGCAGTTTAAAGAAAAAGATTAAGAAAAGTTATAAGAACATATTATCAACATGGTGATGTGAGAATTATTTCCAAATCACAACTAAGAATTCAGATTTTTTTTAGATTTAAGGACAGAATTCCTACTGAAAACAGTCACATATTGTTGACATATAATTGTTCTCAATGAAAATGAGGTTAGTTAGGTTAAAAAGTTAGAACTTTTGAAACATGAATTGCACTAAATAACACACAATTAAAGCAAATGAAACAAAATCTACTATCAAACTACATGTTTTGGAATATGGAATGCCAGCAGACTACCAACACTTTAAGGTAATAGGGTGTAGTCTGAATGTGGAAACACTTCAGATCATGGAGTCTTTACATATTAAACTACTTCAATCAAGCTTGAACATGAATCACTATGTTTTTCCTCTAAGGCTTAAAATGAATGTCAAATGGTGCAGCAGACAGTTAAATGTTAATAAAGCAACAATGCACTGGTTACCTCTGGATGAATGGTTGCTCTTTCACAAACTGGACAAAGTGGTCCTCCTCTTGTAAATTTGAGTGGAAGTTTTCTTGTTCTGTGCCCGCAACCAACATCTTCACATTGTAACCAACCCTACGAAACAAATATCACTGTAATATAACAGATAAAAGAGTTTGATGAGGTATACATAAATCTACATTAATTACTGCTAACTTGGAAATCAACTAAACAAGTGATGGATAAAACAGAACCTTAGACGAAATGTTATAAAACTTAATTACTGTGTAGTTATAAAATTTATTGTTTGACAGTTGATTTAAAATACCTACTAAGTTACACAATAAAAGCAATACATGTTACACAGGTTTTTACCATAAATGCGCAACAAAGATTTCAGCTTTAGAAAGTCACAGTACTTCAAAATAACCTAATACAAAGGATAATAAGGAAATATATAGAGACAACCTTACATCTAATCAAGTCTTTTGGAAAACATGAAATACATCTGAAATGAAAACAGTTACCTGATAGTACTTGTGAATGTAACTGCGAATGACTCTAGTCAACTGATTAGAGAGATAACCACAATAGTTTAACACTGATGTCTGACAAGATGAACATTGTAGCAGCATACTATTGCCATCAGGAGCCTACAATAGAGATCGCAACCAGTAATATTATAATAGTCATGTTTTACTTCTGGTTGTACAAATATGACTGTAGCAAAATTCAAACCAAACAAGTAAAATACATCATACAAATAATGTGATTTAATATTAACAAGAAAATAAAATTTAACAGCATTATCCAAAATACTTACTTTGTTCTTGAAACAGCTTTCTACAAGCAGTTTTTCTCTGCATTGTTCATTTGGACAGGTAAAATACAATTTCTCACAGTCCTTAAAACGATCTTCATCTAGCTGTGATTTTCCTCCAAGTAAGACATCATCATCATCCTGATGGTGCTGCATCTTTCGATAACCACTGGGATCAAGACCTATACATACCAAACTCACATGTATGTGTACGTAAATGTAGTACAATAAATTCAGAAGCATAAAAATTATCTGAAAATAAAGGTTGTTTTTATTACCTCTTTTTTGTGAAAGGAAATTATCATACATTATTTTGTAAAATATTACTATCAAAATCTGAGCAATTTACAAATAGCTCAAAACACTCAAATGATAGTGAATCAATTCTATATTTAAAACCAACAATTTTAAAATCAATAGGTGTTTTATTAAACTTACATGCAAACTCCTATAACAGTTTTGTGTTTATATAAAATTATCTAAAGTTAAATTCAAATATATCTATAAAACTTATTGTTACGTCTCCATTCGTTAGTTAATTTTCCATAAATTCGTTCCGACGAAACTTTAGCGACACAAGTCCTTTCTTAAATAAAACTGGTTTATTCTTTATGGATATAACT